CAGGAGAATCTGATAGCAATTTTAGCCTCCACAGAAACAAATCTCTTCCACCAAAGCACTGGAGAGGAAAGCACAGCCCCTTCTGCGCAGGGCATCTGGACACCCCTGAGCTCTGCTGGGCTCTGGGTACTTCTCAGGCTTTTTGCTGCTCTTAATCAGGAATAGCTGAATCCTCCTTCCCATGACACTGCTGGAAGGTCAGCACAGAACAGCCTCCTCTGAGGCCTGGCAGAGCAGAGCAGTTATCATGGCAACGGGAGAGCAGAACGTGTTCTCCTCTGGCAGGGCTCGACCTGACCTGGAGGGCTCTTTGCTGCCCAAGCTTCTGATCCTCCCCTAGCCTCCCCCAGGCCAGGGCCAGGCTGGGCAGAGGCAGGGCTGGGGCCCAGGAGGGGCTGCAGGCTCTGGCTCACCCAGTGTCAGGATCAGCCCGATTTGGTCACAGTGGAGCCCGGGAATGTGAGCTGGTCGTGTTCTGCACGTTGTGGCTGCAAATGTCAACCAAACTCACTGTTTGTGCTGTTGCAATTGTGTAAAAATAACGGAGTGAAATGAACTGCAGATGTGATTTGCATGTGCATGTGAGAACCTTCCATTAAATCTTCCAACCAGAGACTGGAGTGGCTGGGAGTGCTGGGACTCTGTTTTTTTTACACAATAAGAGCCTCTATGAGAGCAATCCAGGAGCCCTTCTCTCATTTGGGGAGTGTTCTCCAGATTTATTGGTGGCTCTGCAGTGCTGGAGGAGCCCTTTGAGGCTGGGAATGCAGCTCAGCTCTGCGTCTCCTTGGCTTTTTATACTCCAGGGGAAGTGTTTACATGTGTTGTAGCAACCAGGCTGGTGTCCATGGCCGTGGGCCGCGGGTGACTCACTGCCAGGGAACTCGAAAACAATGTCAGATAAAAGCCCACTCAGGGGAGCCGGGAAGAGGCTGCAATGGGTCCAAGAGCTCTGAGCTGTTTGAAGTAGGAGGACTCAGAGCAGCCCAGCACCCACCAGCTGGCAGCCAGCTGCCTTTGGGGCTGGCTGTGGGCACCGGGGGCCCTCCAGGTGCCCACAGAGTCTGCAGACGGACAGGCCACCAGTCCTATCAGCTCTGCCGATGGCAGGGAGCTTCCTGAGGCACACCACTTCCCAGGAGGTCTGTGCTGCAGGGGCAACACACACTCCCTGTCCCTGTCCCCTGTCCCCTGTCCCCATCCTGCTGCCGGGTGCAGCTCTGTGCAGTGCACAGAGTGGGACCAGAGTTTGCCGCTGCTGTTACCAAAATCTTCTGAGAAATGTTGTTTACCCACTGTCCTTGTGCCAGCTGGATCTGAGCTGTCTGAGAGGACAGAACTGGTTTGCCTCTGCTGATTGGGAGCCAGGCTTCGAACACCCCAACAGGCAGGGATGCCAAGACCCAGGATTTTGGACTCGCCCACTTCAGGGTCACTGTTTTCCCAGTAAAAATAGAGGGGTTGGAATGCCTGGTGTTAAAAATGTGGCTCATCTGGATGAGTCATGAGTGAAATGAAGTGCAGAGAGCGTAGTGCCTTGCCCAGAGCGGAGCAGGGATTTGTGCAGCAGCCACCCATGAGCCCAGGATGGTTCTTGATTGTTCCAGACAGGTCCCATTGTCCTCCACAGCTGTGTCTGCAGGCACGTCCTGCCCACAGTGGGCAGCTCTGCTTCTCTGCAGGAGAAACCTCCCAGGCCAGGAGGAGGAGACCTTGGTGGCTTTTGGGCAGTGCTTGAGTGCAGGGGTTTGTGGTGCACGCAAGGGATGCTCAGCAGAAGGTGCTCATCCCCATTAAGACATGCCAAAGCTGTGGTTGTTCTGACACCAGCTGTGCTGTGCCCAGGCCTGCAGGAATGGTCCCTGGATACAGCTGGGCTTGGAGCCTGGGGAGTTACCCGCGGCACACAGGGCTGAAAATCCTCCAGCTGTCCCCCAGCTGGTTCTCCACTGCTTGGATCAGCAACCAGAGTGAGGAAGAGTCAGAGGGGAAAATGCAGGAATTATACCAGACTTAGGAGAGAGAGAAGCACCATCTGAGAGCCCTGCACCGGCTGCCCTGGCACCCGGCCCTGCGGGAGAGGGGCTGGGAGCAGGACCTGAAGGGTTTCCCAAGCACAGCTGGAGAAGAGCTCTTGGAAACAGTCCCGAGCAGGAAGGCTGGGATCTTTATGTATGGGAAGAGCTGTGGTCCTCTGTGCCTCTGTGCCTGAGCCATGAGGTGCCTCCTGACAGAGGCAGAGCAGAGGCTCAGGCCCGTGGGTGCCACTGGGCTATGGGGACAGAGCAGGGTCGGCAGAAGGGCAGATGAAGTGCCTGAGTGCAGCCTGTGGGATTGCAGAGCAGGGCAGCTGCTGCTCTCTGAGTGAAACACAGAATTAGGGAGAGCTACAGGCACACCGACAGTGGTTGTTCCCACTGTCCCACGCACCGGGACCTGCTGCTGGGCACGTCCTCACAACTGTAAGAGAAGAGCTGCAGGACGCTGCCGAGGCTGGATGGGAGCATTACTGGCCCAGCCCATCTCACCACATCAGAAAATTCAGCCAGGAGCTGGATTTGCTGGTGTAACAGGAGGAAAGATGGTTTATTTATGTGGAAGATGAGGAATTTTTTCTTTCTGCAGACGCATGTTCTGGAGCTCACAAGGGGATGATAGGATCAGAATTTTCAGGATATGGCCCATTTCCAGGGACAGCTGTGCCAGGCAAGAGGGGGATGCCTTTGTTCTGGCTTATTGTGTTGCCTCAGAGGGAAGGAAGTGGCTGGAGTTCCTGATGTTCTGCTAGTGGGGCAGGGTCCCTTGGAGTCTCTGGGATTGCTCCAGCAGGTGTTGTTGTGAACAGGCTCCCTGCCTTCCCAGTGATGTGGGTTTGTTCTGGACTGACCTCGCCCTCTGGAGAGCATGTGTATTGTTTTCTGCTGAAGTGGCTCATCAAATGAAGAAAACACATGTTCACCACTCCACCTTAACCTCCATAAAGTGTTTGGGACCTGAGCTGTGATCCAGAGGGCAAAGAGATTTGCTCAGAACAGTTCTCTGCCCTGAACAAAACCCAGAGCCTGCAAAACCCACAAAAAAGTCACAACTCCAGCAGGCTCTGTGTTTTCACCAAGGACACTGTGGCCTGTGCCACCCTCACCGAGCCCAGTGCTCCGTGGAGCTGGCTCGCCACTGCTCACAAAGGTATCCCCAGATGCCCTTGTGCTTCCAGAAGGGAACAGCACCATCCTGTGCTTGGAGAAAAATGAGAAAGCAGATGAAAGCATCTGGATGTCACCCAGGTGAAGCTGTGTTGGAGTCACGTACTCAAGCAGTCCTGTTGGTTTTCCAGGGGTGCAAGGGAAGGCAGGGCTGGGGACAGTGCAGTGGGTCAGGCCCAGTACCCGAGTCTGCAGGGGGAGTGTCCCCTCCTGCCTCCATCCAGGGGCTCAGGCTGGAGCCACAGCATGGCAGTGACTTTAGTCAGCGGGGGCAGTGGCGTGGCAGTGACCTTGGTCAGCAGAGGAGCAGCGGGGGCGGTGAGAGAGCGCTCAGGGCACGGCTGTGTGAACGTGCTGTCCCTTCCAGCGCTGCAGGGACCGGGATGTCCTGTCCTGCGGCAGCGCCAGGGATGCCCCTCCTCGGGCTGGGCCTGGCAGGATGACCATTCCCAGTGTCCTGGCTCTTGGCACCGGTGCAGCTCGTTCATGCGTGGCCGTGGTGGTGCGGTGGAGGCTGCTGTGCCACTGTGACACGCAGAGCACGGGAGGTGCCACAGCAAAGTCACCCTCCTGTGGCTCAGGGCAGCTCCCCAGGCTGGTGGCAGGCGAGTCACTGATGGTGTTCCAGCGTTTGCCACACACTTTGAGCACTTGGGTTACGCCAGGGGCTATGCCTTGATTTCCCTGGGTCCTGCTCCCAGTGCTGCGGATCCCTGTCCTTGCTCCGTTCCTCTCCTGCCTGCCCCAGGGCTGGAAATGGCACCCGGCCATCCTGCTGCCCAGGCTCTTCTCCAAGCCCCAGCCCAGCAGCTCCACATGCTGTGTGCCCATTCCACACACTGCCTTTCGCCTGCTGCTGGATTTCCTGGCAGCTCCCACCTGTCCCACCCAGCTCCATAGATTAAAACCACTCAGGCAATAAATGTCCGAGCGTGGGCTGTAGCCCTGCTGCTGTGACGCTCTGTGCAGTGATGGGCTATTTCCAGCCTGTCCTGGGATCAGAGAGGTGATTCACTGCAGCAGGGATGCATGCTATGTGCTGCTTAGATGAAAACCAATCCTGCCCCAGACCTGTGCCCCTCTCCCGGGCACATGCTTGTCCTCTGCCACTGGGATCAGGAACTTGGCTGGCCTGAGCACGTGGAAAAGCTGAATGAATCCAGCCCTGTCCCAAGCAGAGCAGTGTAACCCAGCAATCTGGGTCGGGGCCACTGTTTCCGCCATCTCCAGATATGGGCTTGGGCAAATTCCCTAACTTATTTCCCAGTGGAGAAGCGGGAAGAACAGGGTGGCCTGGTGCATCCCAAGAGATGTCCCAGCCCCACACCTGGATCCTGTAGGTGTTGGGAAAGTCTGAGTGCAGACTGGGATCAGCCAGGCCAGCGTGCGTGCCGGCAGCGTGGCCAGGATCCCAGCTCCAGCCATGCCTCTCTGCTCGAGGGGCTGTGATGGCCAGGTCCTGGGATAAAGGTGAAACTGGAGGGGACAGGACTGTGACAGGGCACAGCAGGACAGGGAAAGACTCCAGTTTCAGTGCTGGGCTGCCTTTCCTGTGCTGCTGGAGCCATGGATGGGTTTGGAACCAGCCCAGAGTGAACAGAGCTGATGCTTGAGCACAGATACAGGAGAGCCCTAAGCACATCCTCATTACAGTAACTTAGCAGATGCACTAAGGGAGGATGAGTCCAACTGATGCACCTGGGTTTGTTTAGCCAGTGGCCCTGTGGGAGGGAGGCAGGGCTGGCTCCAGGGCTGTGGGGTGTGTGTGTCTCACCGGCTCGGCTCTCTGTCTTGCAGGATGAAGTGAAGCTCCCGTCTAAACTGAGCATCAGCAAGTCTCTAAAGGAGGGTGAAAAGCTAGAGAAGGAAGGTGAAGGTGAGGAGGTACCTGCGGGTGAGGACCATGCAGAGGAGGACCACATCCAGCTCTCCTCGGATGAGGAGGTAGAGATTGAGGAGATTATCGAAGAGTCACGGGCAGAGCGCATCAAAAGGAGCGGCATGAAGAGGGTGGATGACTTTAAGAAGGCATTCTCAAAGGAGAAGATGGAGAAGACTAAGCTAAAGACCAAGGAAAACCTGGAGAAGACCCGCCACAACTTGGAGAAGACCCGCCACAACCTGGAGAAGAGGATGAACAAACTGGGCACCAAGATTGTGACTAATGAAAGGAGAGAGAAGATGAAGACCTCTCGGGACAAGCTGAGGAAGTCTTTTACCCCCGACCACACCATTTATGCCAGGTCTAAGACAGCTGTCTACAAAGTGCCACCCTTCACTTTCCACGTCAAGAAAATAAGAGAGGGCGAGGTGGAGGTGAAAGCCACGGAGCTGGTGGAGGTTGGTGGAGAGGAGGGAGAAAACTCAGATCTGATGCGAGGGGAGAGCCCCGAGATGCACACGCTGCTGGAGATCACGGAGGAGACCGACGCGGTACTGGTGGACAAGAGCGACAGTGAGTAGGACAGGCTGCAGCACGGAAGGGTTGTGGACGACAGCTGAACATGTTATCACTCACATTTCGAGCTCTCCCTGCCCTGGGAGCCCCAGGGAAGTGTACACGATGCATCCTTCCTACCCTGCAGAGCCGACGCTGATCCCCTGCCTGCTTTGGACAAGGTGTATTTTATATTTTAGTTTCAGCACACAAACATTAGGAACACGGGATTGTTTTTCTTACACTGTTAAGTCACCCTCGGAGACCATTCCTGCTGCAGCCTTCTCACCCCACGCCTGAAGATGGACTTTGAGCGACAGGGCCCCCGCCCAGCTGGAGAGTGCTGAACCCAAGATACCGGCTGTACAGCTGGAAAGCTCAAGAGCCCTCCACAAGCTAAACCTGGTGTCAAGAAAGCTTCCTGCAAGCAGCCCGCCCACCCACAGACCCCCATGCCAGGTGCGTGGCCGCCCCACAGGCAGGAAGAACCCCAGCACCCACACTGGCCGCTCCCAGAGGAACTGGGATGCAGCCAGAGCATGGGAGGGAAGAGCTGAGCTAGTCCTGTTGATAGGCAGAGCACGGCCCTCCCCAGCACCAGCTGAGCCGGCAGCACCCGGGATGGCTTCCAAGGAAGCCGCCCTGCAGCTGGGGCTGCCCTGGGTGCCCACGGGGCATCCACCACCCAGCCAGGCCCTCTGCTGCTCCCTGCTGTGCTGAGGCTGCTGCTGCTCAGCCCCAGGAGCAGTGTGGGCTGCAGGCTCCCCTGCCCAGGGGCCCAGGGACTGTGGTGAGTCCTCACCAGGGCAGGGAGCAGCACGGAGGTGGGGTGCTGGATCTGCTCCCTCCTCACTCACAGCAGAGGGGCAGCGGGCAGGAGGCCCATGCTCACTGCCTGGGGAGGGGGGACACGCAGGGAGCGATGCCGGAGCAGCCACCGCTGACCCGCAAGATGTTTCCAGAGGGAAACGGAATGTGCTGCTGCCACGTGAGGCTCCCGACCATCAGAGAGTGGCCTTGACACCTGTCAGCACCGGACCTTGAGCATTTCTGAGCGTCTGTTCCCTCCGGGGGTCCTGGCACAGCTTGGGCTCGTGCCCACGTCCTTCACTTTCCTCCCTGTTTCCTGCTTTCTGCAGCTTTCGCTCCATGCCCCGAGCGAGGGCAGCACACGGCGGCTCCAGGGCCCTCCTGGCTCTCACACACGCAGCCCCTGCCCCACCATCCCCATCCTGCTCCCCCCCGGCACGAGGCAGCTGCTGCTCACATAACCCTATATATAAACTTGCTTTTCCTGTAAGAATTATTTTCCTTCATACTGTCCAGCGCACCCAGCCTGTCCCAGCCCCGGGGCCCTGCCACAGGTGAGGCCGGTCCTGGTCCCGTGTGCTGGCTGCGGGCAGCCCTGGGACACCAGAGGCTGCCGGGGTGGGGGCACCGGCTCTGGGCTGCCCGTGAGGCGGAGGGGTTGGCAGTTCCCAGTGCTGTGTGAGACCCCTGCCCTCGTGGAGCCCCCACGGGCGGTTTTTGGGGGAGTTTTCTCTGGGCAGCAGGGCTGGGGCGGCAGGAGCCCCGGAGACCCCCGGCTGTGCCCGGGCAGCAGCGCAGCAATAAAGTCTCTTTTGTAAACCACCAGTGTGAGGCCTGTGCGTGGCGATGGGGAGGGGCTGCCACTGGGGACTGACCCCCACAGCCCCACATGGGACTGATCCCTATGGCCCCAGCTGGGATTGATCCCTATGGTCCCACATGGGACTGATCCCTATGGCCCCACCTGGGATTGATCCCTATGGCCCCAGCTGGGATTGATCCCTATGGCCCCAGCTGGGATTGATCCCTATGGCCCCACATGGGACTGATCCCTATGGTCCCACATGGGACTGATCCCTATGGCCCCAGCTGGGATTGATCCCTAAGGCCCCACCTGGGATTGATCCCTAAGGCCCCAGCTGGGATCAATCCCTTCAGCCCCACACGGATTCACTCCCCCCTTCCCCACACGGGGGCGCTGCTGCGAGCCCTTTAAGAGGCGGCGGCGGCGGCCGCGTGACGTCACGGCGCTGCCCGGAACCCGGCCGGGTTTCCCGCACGGCTGTTCCCGGCAGTCGCTTCTCCCCCCCGCCCCGCGCCGCCCCTGCCCAGCACCGCCCCGCGGCGGGAGGCGGCGCCTTCCGGGAACAGCTGCGGTGGCAGCGCCCCCCCGCCGCTCTCCGTGACGCGCCCCGCGGCGAGCGCGCTGATTGGCCGTCTGGGCCGGCCCGAGGCGGGGCCGCGGCAATGCCGCGCTGCCATTGGCCGCGCTGCGGTGACGTCACCGCGGGGCGGGGCCCGGCAGCGGCAGCTCCGGTCCGTCAGCGCAGCCGGACGCGATCGCCGCCGGCACCGGGAGCACCGGGAGCGCCGGGAGCACCGGGAGCCGCCGCCCCGCCCGCCCGCCGGGACCGCCGGTGAGCGCGGGGAGCGGGCGGGCAGGCGCTGCTCGGCCTCAGGAGCCGCTGTCCCGGAGCCCGGCTCGGGGCCGCCCCGCGCGTGGGGGCCGGGCCGAGGCGCGGCGGAGCGGGGCGGGGTAACGCGGGGGCCCGTCCCGGCTGCCCCGTCACCGGAGGCCCGAGCCCTGGTGCGGAACGGGGTGGGTCCCTGAGAGAGAAAAGCGGCGGGGCCGAAGGAGCTGCCGCCCACCCGGGTCCGGTGGGGCCGGGCGGGGGTGACACGGCCCCCGGCGCTTCGGGGCTGCGCTGCGGGACGGTGTCGTGTGCGGGGGGAGCAGCACGGGGTCCCAGCGGGGAGGGTGGGCTGCCCTGGGCCTGGTCCGGAGCGCTCCCTTGGCACCTGCAGGGGCTGGGAATGGCCCCTTCCACCTTGAAAGTGATCTCTGTCATCGTCGCTCCCCACTGGAGCCTCCTCTGCTGTTCCCTGTGGATGTGCTGGAGCTGCTGGAGCGGTGGTGGCAGAGGCCAGGAGGGGTGTGGGCTGGGTGTCTCGTGTCCCGCGGTGGATGGTGACAGCGTCACTGACAGCCCTGCAGAGCTGCGATGGGAACAGCCGTGTGGGATGGTCGGGGAACTCGGCACCCGAGGCTGTGAGGTCGCCCGGAGCCGTCTCCCTCCCCCCTGTCACAAATCTTTTCATTGCCGTGTTCCACCTCTGAGGCTGGCTTTGAAATCGCTCCAGAGGAGTGGAGCCAAGCTCTCACAGCCTTTCCAAACTGGCTCCTGTGCTTCAGGAGTGACTGGCTGCTGTGTCGAACAGCTTTCCATCGGGCTGTTGGTTGTGTGGGAGCAGGAGCAGCGAGGGGCTCTCTGAAGTGCTGTTGATGACATCTGTCCTGACCCTGTGATGCTCCCACTGGCGATGACGTGACCTATGCAACGCTGTCAGGGACTGAGCTTCATCCTGCTCGTGTCACCACAGGGGACACAGAGCCCACGGTCCTTCCAGGGCCTCTCCAGTGACTCCCCTCTATGTGTTGCCCCAGGGGTCATTCCTTGTTGTGGGGGCACAGGAAAACCTGGAGTGCGTCCCAGGTGTGTCCCAGAAATAAGAAGGCAGATGGAATGGGCAGTGGCAGCGTCACTTCCAGGGCAGCCCTGCTGTGAGCGAGGCCGTCGGAGCACGCAGAGCTGTCCCAGGCTGCCCGTGGCACCGCAGAGCTCTTGTGCTCTACCCTTGCAGCGAGATAAAGAAAGGTGAACTTTGGCTCTTGAGCTACTTTTAGCAGCTCCACTCTGAGCTCTGGGCAGCGTGCTTGCCCCTGGGCTTGCATCATGCCATGCTCGGCCCTGGCCGTGTCGGCTGCTCCCTGGCTCCGTTCCAGAGGCAGGGGAGAGGCGAACCGCAGGGATGGGCAAGCCCTGTGGAATCGGAAAGGCTCAACCCTCAGATCTTTACCCCAGGCAAGAGAAGCTTCCTGGCGGTGGGGCCGGCCAGGGAGAGGCTCCTGTGTGGGGTTCCAGGGCTGACAGGGTCAGAGCTTCCCTGACACTGGCGACTGCTGTGGGGGAGCATCGCAGGGACCCTTTCCATCCAGGAATGTTGGTCCTGCTTCTGTGGGTGCTGGGAGGAGCTGGAGCTTGGTGCTGTGAGCTGGCTCGTCCTGCAGCTGTTTGTGGCAGTGGGAAGTGCCTGGTTTGTGTCCAAGTGCCGCTGCCGCGCGGCAGCCTGGGAGCTGTGCTCTTGACCCCTTGGTGCTCTGCAGATCGTGCAGCTCCAGCACTGCCCCGAAAACACCAGGATTGTGGCTTTCTTGTGGAACGCCTGCTTGGATTAAGGGGTCCGGATGTGGCGTCTGGTTTGGCTGCTGCAACCTGACAGGGGAAAGTCTGTCTCTGCAAACCGCTCGGCACCAGGCGCGGCAGGGGCTGCCCGGGTGGCCGCCTCCTGTGCCGTGGGCTCCATCCTCAGCTCAGGGCTGGCAGGAGCTGGGCCGGGGCAGCAGCAGCTGCTGCCGTTTCCGGAGGGGCTGGTGCAGCCCCCCCCTGTGCAGGGGTGCCGGCGTGTGGTGCAATAGGAAACGAGGTGGCTGGCTGAGCTCCCCGGCCAGGCAGGGCGCTCCCCACAGGGGTGGTGGGTTTTCACTCTTGCCTGGCCTCTGCTTTTGTTGGGTTTTCCCCTCAACAGCAGCTCCCTCCGTTGCAGGAGTGGCCTCTGGGAATGAGTTAGGGAGCATTTGTTGTTTGCAGAATCTTGCATGGCCAGTGTCTGTTGTCCTGTTCGCTCATTTCTCCATTGAAAACAAGTTTGGCTCACGTGGACTTCCCTGAGGATTGCACCAGAGGGTTGTGGTTCAAGGTTAATGTCCGGTGGAGGCTGCTCCTGCCTTTGAAGCTGTTCAGTGTTACGAAGTTCTTAAAACCTCTTTAACTCCATGTCAGGTGCCAGTGTCTGTCCCCTCCCTGTGCCTCAGCCTACAGAGGATGTTCCCCCTTTCTCTCCTCACACCCAGACAAATGGGGAAAGAGTCCCCTGTAGCAAACCCCAGGGAGAGCAGGACACGCTGTCATGCTGCGTCACTTGCTGCAGGGACCTTTGGGAAAAGCAAACACTTTTCTGCAGGGAAGTGACTCTGCCTTCACTTCCCGAGCGCAGCTGGAGTCCCCTCGTTAGCGCTGATTTTCATCGATACGAGCCATGAACTCGAAAATTGCTCCTTCCTTGTTTCTGTAGTTTCCTGGCAGTCTCCGCCTTCCGCACTTACTGTAAACTCCACAGCTGTTTCCCTGCATCCTGGCAGGGCTGGCCAGGAGCGCCTGTGAGACCAGATTGCAGCTTCATTCCTACCTGTCGCTGGTGACCTGCCTGCCTTCACCAACCCTTCTGGAGCCCTGTGCCCCAGGCTGGTTCTGGCCCGCTCAGCCCTCCCCAGAGGGGTCCTGGCAGGAGGGAGCCGGGAGCCAGCTCTGAGCCCCGTGTGTGTGCCCATCCCAGCAGGTCTCCAGAGCTGGCCAGGATGGCGCAGTGGAACCAGCTGCAGCAGCTCGACACGCGGTACCTGGAGCAGCTCCACCAGCTCTACAGCGACAGCTTCCCCATGGAGCTCCGGCAGTTCCTGGCCCCGTGGATTGAGAGCCAGGACTGGTAAGGCTTTGTGAAATGCCGATCAGGGGATGTTTTTCAAGGCACCTGCCCACAGTGGCAGCAGGGACCTGGGCAGGCTGGAGGAGTTCTGCCACTTTCCCTGGGCTCCAGATGTGGCAGGACTGGCCTCTCTCCCTCCAAAGGGAGTGGGACTGTGCATGCAGTGCGACTGCACCGTGTCATACCCCAGACCAGAAACGATGGATGCGGCACTCAGTGCTCTGGTCTTGCTGACAAGGTGGTGATTGGCCAAAGGTTGGACTCTGTGATCCCGGAGGGCTTTCCCAACCTAAATGATTCTGTGATTCTGTAAATTGCACAGGGGACAGCAGGCACGAGCAGAGCCCCCCTGCCCTGTGCTGGGGCACCCAGGGCTCTCCCTCCCTCGCGCAGGGCGTATGCAGCCAGCAAGGAGTCCCACGCCACGCTGGTGTTCCACAACCTGCTGGGGGAGATCGACCAGCAGTACAGCCGCTTCCTGCAGGAGTCCAACGTCCTCTACCAGCACAACCTGCGCCGGATCAAGCAGTTCCTGCAGGTGAGGCGGGAAGTGCCAGTTGGGCAGCAGGAGGTGCAGGGGGGAGCTGGTGGGAGTCCAGTGTTTTCCTTGGCTGCAGCCCTTTAGGGGTTGTGGATATTCCAGGGGTTGCCTCGTGCCTGCTGACCGTGAGGGTTTGAACCTTTACAGAGCAGGTACTTGGAGAAGCCGATGGAAATCGCTCGCATCGTGGCTCGCTGCCTGTGGGAAGAGTCCCGACTCCTCCAGACTGCTGCCACTGCAGCCCAGGTCAGTGGCCAGGTATCCCAGGGCCTCCATCCAGATTCCCAACAGCCAGGATGCAGCCTGGGTGCTCTGGGTGGGTGCTGTGAGTTGGGTGCCCCCAGGGCTGACACTGAAGTGAGCAGCCAGCTGCTCTGGCATGTGTTAGGGACAGGGTGAAGACCCTGCAGCACCTCCTCAGGGTGGAAGGGAGCATGCCTGGGTCACAGCCCTATCCTAATGCCCTCTTTGTCCCCTCTGCAGCAAGGGGGACAGGCAACACATCCAACAGCAGCTG